CTAAATAGGGAAGTAAATAAAATATTTCTTGAAATTGGAACTTTTAAAATAATATTTAAATTAATGAGATTATATAAAAGGTCGGGTTTTTTTGTATTTAAAATAAAATCAAACCAATTATGTTACATGTAATCTTAGTAAATTCAGATTTAATCTTAACTTTTAAACATTTAAAAATATATATTGCATTTCTAATTTTTCTAATCTGTTTATGATTTTTTAAAATTTTAATTAAAAATTAATTAATTTTAATTTTTTAAATTAATTTGTGTATTTTTTAAGATATTTTAAAGAGTATTTTATATTTATTCATTCTTTTTTTAAAGAAATATCTGTTTACTTTGAAGAATATTTTTTATGTAACTAAAGTATTACACTTTACTTATACTGTTTGGTTTTTTTTCCTTCCTAATTTATATCTATTTTTTTTTTTTATATTTTTGAAATAAAATGAAAAAGATATAAATTTTTTTATATAGTATGACTAAATTTCAAAAACTTAGTTGTATACAATAACTCTGGTCATACAGATTGCTGAGCCAGGATCTCTATAATTAGCTACACACACATCATTTCTAAAAATTTATCTCCAAAATATTTTTATTTTCTTAAATTGAAATTTGTTTGGTTTTAAAGATTTTTTAAAAATAGATTTACTTTTTAAATTGTTTTTTAAAGGTAACTATAAATTTAATTTTAACTCTTATTTTAGACATCTCTTGAGAATAAAATTGAAACAATTGCAAAACAAATCTATGGTGCTGATGGTGTTGAGTTCAAAGAAAATGCCAGAGAAAGGATTAATTTATTCGAGAAACAGGTAAGTACTTCTAAGGTGCAAAAATGATTCTGTGGAAGTAATTTTTAACTTTATTTTTATATTTGTTACATTTCTGAAATTTCAGGGATTTGGTAATTTACCTGTATGCATGGCAAAAACACCTTTATCTCTTTCTCATGATCCTGCAAAGAAAGGAGTGCCAAAGAATTTTATTGTTCCTATTCAAGATGTAAAACTTAGTGCTGGAGCTGGTTTTGTATATCCTTTGCTGGGGGCAGTAAGTTCAAAAATTAATTATTTTAAATTATCAATATTGATTAAATATTTTAGTTATGAAATCACAATTGATATTTAATAAAATATTGCATTTCTTCTATGTATGAAAGTTTAATTTTCTTTTACCAATTGTCAAAAGGCAGGACCAATACTGAATATATATTTCAGATAGAAAAGTACTGTGATTATCATACAATTTAGTGTCTTTTAACATTCTTTAATCTCTGCATTTAAAGTTTAGAAGAATTTTTTTATATTACTGTAAAAATAGATTGGTTCAAATTGACCGGAGTACAGTAATAAAATATGGTGTTCATTATATGGTTATTCTAAAAAGTGTGTGTAATTCAAAATTTATTGTATTGACTTTATATTTAAGAAATTTTTTTTCATGATTTAAAACTTTCTAAAATCTTGTAATGATTTATAGAATTTAGTTTTAATTTTCCTTATGTCTATAGCAGAGGTGTCCAACCCAAATGGCCTTGTGGGTCACTTTGGAAAACATTATAATCTCGTGGGCCGCACATAAAAATATGTATCTTTATATCAGATTTGGAAACAAGAACACATTTATTAGAGTGAAAATTTAAAACAGAATGAATTATTATTATTGTTTTCATTATTTTTCATGTATACCCCCAGACATAGACAATATAATAATGCAATGATAAAAAAATGTTTGAAATATTACAGTTGCCATTTTCTTGAAAATTACAGTGTTCCTTTTGAATTGATCTTTCGTTACTCATTGTTGAAATTTGATAGTGCTGTCATTTGCTAACGATTAAGTATACATTATCTTTTCTTTTTACGGTCCTGAATATTTTTTTTAAACTTTAAAAAACATCTCTAACTGCCTTTTGCATTTTGGGCACTCCAAACAGAAAATGGGGAGGAGAAACGAAAGTCGCACACACAGAATCATGTACCATCCATAGAAAAGGATATGCATAATGCAATTCGAAATTTATTAAAGAACTTATTTACTATAGTAAAATCAAATGTAACTGTTTGATAAAATATAAATCTATTTTAATCTAAAGGACATTTCTATTAGCAAAAAGGATTTATTCTAAATCAAGAACAGGTAACAGGCAAATACATTGTAGATATACACAGTCCAGTCACATTAATGTGACCACCACGTACTTTCGACTTTGACATTAAATAACCAATCACATAAGGATGCTGGCATCACAGTGCTATTGAGCGTATATAAAGGGTGTGTGAGGGCTTTGGAAAACACTACAGTCGTTGGCGTAATGCAAACATGTAAAGAGTTATCCAAAGTCCAAAACGGCATAATTTTTGGCTTTTGGGAAAGGAAAAGGTTGGAAGCATTTCCTCAATGGCTAAGTTTGTGGACTGTTCGTATGTCACCGTGGTTAAAGTATACCGTGCATGGCAAAATGGGACCGTCCAAAATCAGTGACGTGGCAAATGTGGTGTACCATGGGCCATAGGTGATAGAGGTGACTGACGGCTGCAGAGGTGAGTTAGGGAGACTAGACGTGCTACCGTTAAGCAACATACCACCCAGATGAACCAAGGGGCTACCAACAGTGGCTTCCAAACTACTGTTCAGCGATCGTTGTTGCATCTGGTTCTCCGAAGCAGGCGCCTGGTTCATGCCACTATGCTGAATGCTGTTCATCAGCAACGAAGACTGGAATTTTCACACAGGTACCGCAACTGGGCATCCAATGAGAGGCGACAGGTAGAGTTTTCTGATTAATCACGCTTTATACTCCATCGGACGGATGGTGGCAAATACGGCATGAAACGTCTAAAAGCAAACACCCTGCAACAATTGCTGGCAAGGTTCAGGCTGGAGCATTATGGTCTGGGGAATGTTTTCCTTAAATTTTCTGTGTTTATTCATCATTGTGGAAAGCACGATGGATCAATAGAAGTATGCATCTGTCCTTTCAGACCATGTCTACCCCTTTATGCACATTGTTTTTCCTCAGGATGGTGGCATCTACCAGCAGGACATTGCGGAGTGTCATACAACTGACAGCGTACGTGCATGGTTCAAAGAGCACCAGGATCAGTTTATCGTTCTTCTGTGTCCAGAAAACTCACCTGACTTAAACCCAATCAATAATCTATGGAACCATCTTGATCGGGTTGTTCGCGCCATGGATTCTCACGCGCGTAATCTAGTGCAGCAATAGAGTCGGCATGGCTCAACATCCTAGTGAATACCTTGAGGATCCTAAATGACTATTCCCCTCTGCGAAAGATGGTTATTCTGGCTTTTGACAGTGGTCACATTAATATGACTGGACTGTGTATATATATATATCAATTTCCCCTCAAATAAATTCAAAATGAAGAAACTTTAAAAAAATTTAAAGAGTCGGCGGGCCGCATGTTGGACACCACTAGTCTATAGAATGTTATTCAATTTTAATGAAAATATTTTACAAACATGTTTATGTTATGTCATTGTGTAACCTCAAAATTTTTTGAAAAGTGGTGCATTTCCTTTTTTTTATATATGTCTATTTTTAAATTAACTAAAATGAAATTTTTTTTTGGAAAATATATATATATTTCTAATTATAATTAAAGAAAACATTTTTAATCTCTTGTTATACCCAACAAGATATCTACAATGCCAGGACTGCCTACCAGACCTTGTTTTTATGATATTGATATTGATACAAATACTGGAGAAATTGAAGGATTGTCCTAAATTTTGTACGGTAATTTTTTTTCATATTTTATATTAGTTTTACTTTAATAGCATTATTGAAGGTGATATATAAATATTCTCATTTGCATCATATTTTGAAAATGAACAAAAATATAAATTTAGTGGACTGATAGATTTGTAAAAAAATGTCACTGTCAGTAAAAATGTAATGTAAATATTTTTTAGATATGTATAAAAATTAATAGCAAAACAATCTTTCTCCTGATATAGTTTTGTGGTTGTGTCAAATATGAATAGTGTCTGTTCTGCCAAAGACACAATTATGTAATATAATGCAGTGCTCCCTAACCTTTTTAGCATTGCGGACTGGTCAACCTTTGATGATTTTACTGCAGCCTGCTGGGGGGATGTTGATTGTTTCTATTTTAGATTTTGATTTAATAATTTTAATTTAATTGTATTTAAACATGCTTTCAGAATAAAATACAGTTACACCAAAAAATTAATATATTGTGATTAACATGAAATATAAAGTAATTTCAATAAGAAGTCGCACAAGTGCATGAGTAATACACCACAGAAAATGAAATAGTAATAATTTAATGTTCCTTGTGTGGCCAGGGAGTTGAGGACCACTGGGGTATAATTCATTTTAGCCTCACATTCTCTTGTGAAAAAGTGCAATATTTGCTCAAATAGTGTCTTCATCACTTGACCATGTTTCTAAATTTATAAGATTTTTGAAAAGAGCTTGCTTTATATTCTTAAATCAAAGAAACATAATTTAAAAATTTACAAATATATTACTAGCATATTTTTTTCTTTAAAATGATATATATTTCATAAAAATTTTTAAAATTTTTTTTTACAGGTTTGATTAACAGTAACAGGAAAATTTCAAAATGAAGGACTGATTTTGATATACATATATATATAAGCTTGTAAGTGAATAATTTTGTAATAAAACTTTTTCTACATTTCATTGAATACAAATCCAAGTCTCAAATATCAGAGAAGGCATAAGGACATATGTTTTTTTTTAAAAAACCTTAATCTTCAATTCATAGCTGTTAGAACTGATGCATTATATTACACTTTCGAGTTCTAAAATGTCTCTGCCAAAAGAAAAAAAAAGTTAAGTCAATTCCTACTTAGGTCAACAAAAAACAATTATAGTTGAGAAGTAACAAAATAAAAAGTGATTTTCTTTGCAATTTTCATACTTTTCATTAATAAAATAGTATAGTAAAAAAGAAATCGCTTTCTCAGAAATTAGGCCATCCCATTTGGGATTCAAACCCACGACCTTTGGATTAGAAGTTCAACATGTGCTATCCACTGCACTAAAGGGACACAGCAAACAACTTTCTTTTCTATATATGCTGTTAGACTATTATTTTTGCTTACTATTTATTCATTTTTTAGTTCAATTAATGAATTAATATTTGAAAAAACTGTATTAACATCACGTGTCATCCACTACAAGTTCAAATACATTTTTTTTAAAACTTGAATGGATGAATAGAAAGTATTTTATTAATGATTGAAAATTTGAATAAGATATATATGGAGAGAGTGAACTAATAGAAGAAATTGAATAATGAAACAACACAAGTACATCTCAAATAATTTTATTTACATTTATTCTCACATTTAAAAAAAAATGCATAACAAAACTTATAAAACAAATAATTTAAAAAGTAAAATATACAACTTTATAAATAATCTAAAATTGTAATTAAAACAATATATTACACACTATTGGACTTTTTTACATAATGCAAGATGAATATGAGTAACATTTGATTTTAACTATAAGAGATAAATAATTTTAATGGAATTGCACACACATCTTTGCTACATCAACATCCTTAATGTAAGGTACAATCCTTGAGTAGCTGATTAACTACTCTGACTAGAATGGCTAAAATTTAATTCAGATAATGAATCAAGTTTTTGCGAAAGCTCGATTCTGCACATGATCATCTATCATTTGAAGTTATTTTTTAAGGCTTAACACCTTTGCTTGTTGATCAAATATTTTTAAAAATTTTCTCTCCAAGATAGTATTTTATTTGCAATTTTTTAGTTTTTAAAATCAGTTCTTTACACATTAAAATATTTTATTCATTTACAGAGTAAGTTTTAAATGTAACATTATATATTTATAATTTGTAAATTTTCAACAATCAAGGATCAGTAGTTTTTATTTTTAATACATCAGGATTCTATACACTATTAAGCCGGGGTGGGCATTAAGTCGATCGCGATCGACCGGTAGACCACCAAGACATTTTGGGGAGACCGCCTTCACATAAAATCTTAGAAGTGCATATTAAAAGAAACACAGGTGGTTACCAAGCTAATGAAAACATCCATGAATAAAACTCCAAACCAAATTTGAGAGACGTTTTCAAGAGTTTACTAGACTAGAATCCCACAAAAGTTGCATTCATGGGTTATTCATTTGGCAATGTTGATGTGAAAAATAACAAAATATACTATGTTACATGTTTTCTTTATCTCTCGAGGAAAACGAAGCTTTTTTCTTTCAAAAGGACGTAATTTGTAAAGAATAACTTTTGGAATCTATTGGTCGAAGTAAAGTATCCCAATTTTAAAAAAGCGGCAATTCATTTAACTTCGTTCTTTCACTCTACCTACCTGTGAGAATCTACATTTTCTACGAAGAATATAATTAAGACAATATATTCCCGTTTCACAGACGACCACTTCGAATCCAGTGTAAGATTAGCAGTTAGTAATAATATACCGAGGTATATTCAAGATTGTGTGTGTGTAGTGGGGGGGGACAGCTAAGTCGTCTATTGAGACTATAGCTATAAAAACTAATTTTAAGGGAAAATTACTTATTTCTTATGTATTGTGAATTGTTTGAAAATGCATCATTTAATATTAAATTTATAGGTATAATTATTATGTTTGTATTTTGCATTTTACTTAAAACGTAGTTTTAAAAGAGTAAATTTTGTTTGTTGTATTACAAATATTGTGTTGAGCTTCTTTTTTTTTTTTTTTTTTTTTTGCTTAACACAACTACGTCACATGGTGGACCGCGACACCTTGAAAAAATTTAAAGTAGACCGTGACATGTAAAAGTCTGCCCACCCCTGCTATTAAGGAAAGGAAATATGTTTCTCAACAAATATTTCTGATTCAATAATAAAACTAAAATATTCAATACAATGCAAATGTGTCAAAATCAAACTACAAATAATAAATTTAAATGTTTCAAAACTTGAATTATATTCCAACTTTAAGTTTGTGACTTGTATGAAAAAAACTCAATAGAACATTCCTATTGAAATTAATAATGGGGAATCTGTTCCCCAAGACAATACATACATCAGACTATCCAAAAGTGGATGGATATTCATTTAAATGGACAAGATATTTCATTTAAATTACAATATACACTACAAAGAAATAAGCACAATTAATAAAATGTGTTAAACATTTATATATCTTCATTAAAAAAAGGAATACATCTTATATACTATAAAATTCTTATGCTGCACCGATATTTATATATATATGTATGAACACATAAAATATCTTTTCAGGTCATAAAAACCATAATTATCATGCAGATACATACTAAATAAGAAGTTTTTGTTAAATCATCCTATAATATTTTAAAATAAAATAAATATTTCAAATGCAGAGGAATAGCAACAACAAATGGAATATAACAATCATCAGCATAAATAAAAAGTAAATTACATACCAGATACATTGTTCACACTTAAACATCAATCTTACTTTAAAAATAATTGGTTTTTTGAATTAGTATGACTTTCAATTCAGGGACTTCAGTAAATATCAATTATATCAGATGATTATGATTTGTTCGTTCATTTAATTCAATTAAATGCTATTAATGAAATAGATTCCCTATGCATCATTATCAATATTTTTTTAACTGAGGGGATGGAAGTAAATATGAATTTTCTAAATTTACATTTCAGCCATACAAAAACTGCATTTAATTAGAAACTAGACATGATTCAAATTTTTGAGCTGCACTTTGACATTGTTTAAAATTTGAATAACATGTCTTTAAAAAAATTACTTAGGTCTTATTCATTCAGTATTTTCAATTAATGGATTATGCAAAATGCACATTAATTAATAATTTATATTTCAATTACATAATAAAGTAATTCTCCATAAAAACATTAGTATCACTGTATAATCAAAAATTATAATTACATAACTGAAATTTCAATAAAATTACGTTAGTAAATTCTGTTTCATTTTTTGCTTGAAGTTTGGTACGACAAATTTTTATTCAATAATACAGCAAAATTATATCTAAAATTGTTTGGAAATCTAAAGACATTACAGTATCAAATAACTGCATAAAACATTTACACAATCTTTTCATATAACTTTGCTACCTTCATTCCAGGTATATATTCCCAACATGAAATAAAAATAAATAAAATGGACGAAAGTTTGGCATGTATAAATTTGCACAATATATATAACACATGGTAATGAAATATGAAGTTTGGTTGCTAAGTTTGGTTCAAATGAATGGCATCTGTATAAGTCTGAAAACATAAATGAAATAAATTGCAGATATTAAGAGAAAACTAACTAAATTCTAATAAAAATATAGCTATTGCACATATTCATATAAAATTAACTGCAAAATTCAAATATAGTTTTTTTTAATATAATAAGAATAGAAAATAAGTTTATAAATCATATTATGCAGTGATTCCCAAAGTGGTCTATATAGATCCCCAGGGATCCATGATAGTTTTCATTACACCAGATTGGGACTTTAATTTTAAAAGAAAATTTAAATGGGTAAAATCAGGTTTCCATTTGATTAACATATTTATTTACTAAATTTATAAAAAAGTTAATTTGCAATTACAAGAGGACAGCATAAATTTTATTAAAACAAGGACCATCATTTCAACGTTTCTTGCCAGAACTAAGTTAAAGGAGTGTAATATTAGACATCACAAATTTTCCTAGTTTCTCAATTGGCCACAGACAATCTGCCAGGAAAAAATGATGCTTTAACCTATGTTTAACATTCTAATTATCTTTATTCAGATTTTGAAACAAGGTTTAAGAATACATTTACTTGGTAATTACTAAAAAAGGCAATGAATTCATATGGCACATAGAAATTAAAATGTCATATTACATAAGGAACGGATCAGAATAGGCAGTAATGGAGAAAAGTAAAGTTTAGAAACAGATGTTAGTAATTTTGGCTTTAAAGACATCTGTTATTTATCTCGAATTATAGAGTATAGAGAGAAAGTTTATAATTGTTTTACGTAGTGAGAAGGAGTTTAAGTGCAGGGGTGTCAATTGGATACTAACCAAGGAAGTTTAGGGTTAAACCTGACAAGATTGATAACAAATGTTGAAAATCAGTTATTGAATCACCGGATTCATCCCTCAGTGATGCACTTAAGGGAGTGAAGTCCCAGTGTCTGCCCCCCCCATATAGCCCTTGAATTTATTTCAATTGATTATAATCCTATGTATATAGTACATAAAATTCAATTAAATATTTGTTTTAAGCAATTAATTTCATTGACTAAGGCAAGTTATTTATTCAATAAATTATTTTTTACTGTTTTTTGTTCCCGACAAAATCAAAATAATATGTTGGGTGGGGTATGATACAAGAATGGTGGACTTTCCACCCTGAACCCCTCCCCCCATTAAAGATTCCTATGTGTGCCACTGAACCTTATTATAAACATTTGTTTGTTAATCAGTTATTTTATGTGTATCAATTAAATTTTAAATTAATGTGTTTCTTAATTTTAACCTCTATACTTCACTACAGATAGACTTTAAAAAATTTTAAGTAAGCAGTTCTGTATATTGGCGGTCATAAACACATTTAAGTTGATAAATGTGCAAAAATTTAATATTACATAAGTAGTGGTCTACACCAAACCGAAAACATGGCATGGGGGGGGTCTATGAGACAAAAAAGTTGGGGAACCTCTGATAAAGTTGGGGATGTTGAAAGTTTCAATATTACACAGATATCTAAAGAATATTATTTCAGGAAAATGTCTCGTTTGTATATATAAAAACAGTCTAAAAATCTTATTCGTTTTTATACATACCTCCTTTTCTTTATAATTCAATTTTTGCGCAAAATGATCATCTGTGGGTAATGAAGATCCTCATCATATTTAGTAGCCCTTTCTTTCAGCTAAAACAAATTTTAAATTTCAGTTACAAAGTTAAAAGTACATAATATTTAAGAATATTAAAATAATATTAATAAAGCATACCATGTATTTATGCAAAGTGTAAAAGTAACATACATAATCTCTGAAGAT